TCAACATCCCCAAAGAACAAGCTTTGCATGGCAGGAATACAACGTAGGGAAGTAAATGATGCCCATGTGATGATTTGAGAATACAGTGCATCTTGTCACATCCGGGATGTCCCATACGATCATGCCAAAGCAGCAAAGTGCCCTAGAATGGTTGTGATGTACAATCCACTTGGGTTGTCCTGCGAATGGTTGTGATGTACAATCCACTCAGGAGACGTTCTAGCTTCTCGTGAATACACTTCTGGCCATACTCGTAAGAAGTGATACAAAGAAATTCAAAACCATTCTCTTCAGTGGTTTCAACATGATATTGATTATTTCAAATGTCTCTAAAACTCAGCAGCGTTCTTGCAGAACGTGAAGAATATAGGGCCTCTTTAATTGTTAAGACAGTACCATTGAACAACATTATACAGGCATTTTCATATCCTTCAATCAGGTTGGATGAGCCTGAGAGGATTGTCAGAGGTGTTTTCTTAGGTATGAAGTTAGTAAAATAGTGTCGCTCACGCAATATGGTATGCGTAGTAGCATTATCAGCCAGATAAATAACTTCTCCATTAGTCATACCTAGAAATAAATTAATTGAATTAGTCACATGCATAAATATAATTCCATTCATTCAATTAATCAATCAAGAAATAATATCCATAAAATAATTATACATAATTCAATACAAACAAAAACCAAACAAATTATTCCAAAGACGTAGAAAAATTGTCCAAAAATTAAACCATAAACCTAAAAAGATAGGAGGGGTTTGGCTATTCCAAGTGGGTTCAGCCACTAGGGGTAAAAACACCCTAAAAAATGTCTAGAAGAATAAAACTTATTCGTCCATAGGAGGTAATACCTCCTGAAAATCTGATATCTCCATGGATGTAGTAGCATCTTCAGGATGTTCCACATTGGCAAAGTTAGACTCACGGCGGGAGTGATACTTGGAAATAGCCTTGGGGCTAGCTCGACATACGCGTGACCAATGATCATTTGATCCACAGCGGTAGCACATGTCCATTTCAGTGGAAGCTGATTGAACGGTAGCTTTTCCCTTGTTCTTGAAGTTTGGGCCCTTAGGTGCAAGATGTTGGTGCTTTTGGGTCAAATTTCCTTCCTTTGTTGGGCCATGGCTCTATTGACCTTGGGCCCGTGGGTGGGCTTACTAGCCATTACCACGGCCACGATGATGTTTTCGTCATTTGTGGCTACTATAATTAGTCGTATGCGCTTCAGACACAGCGTTCAAGCCAGTGGGTCGAGCTTAATGATTTTTCATCAAAAATGGGTTCTCTTTTAGCAATAAATAAAATAGAGATCAACTTCAAAGATTTGGTGAATTTTTATGCCCTATATTATTGCTACAAGATAATATTGATAGCATGGAAGGTCGAATAGGTCTTCTCCAAAAAATCTGTATCTGTTAAGTCCACTTTACAAAACATAAGCAGTGATCGAATTCTACAAACTTCAAAGTTGTATTCATTCACGGACTTAAAATCTTAGAAGCGTAGATGCTACCAGTCGTGTCTTGCTTCAGGCAAGTAAATGTCTTTCTGGTGATCAAAACGATCGACCAGAGTAAGCCAGAGGGTGTGTGGGTCCTCCTCAACAAGGTACTCGATTTGCAGTGCATCATAGATGTGTCTTCGAATGAAGATCATTGCAGTAGCTTTCTGAGCTTCATCGACGAGTTTGGCGTCGATAGGTTCCTCGATGATGGCTCTAATACCATTTCCAGTAAGATGAAGCTTCACGTCTTGAACCTACTTTAGGTAGTTTCTTTCAGATACTTCCAAAGTGGTGAAATCGAGCTTATTCAAGCTCAACATGTCCCTAAAACAGAAGGTACAACAAAACGTAGTTAGTCATATGGTAATCCATAGACATACATCATAGAACATTCGGGTTCTATATACATGTATTGGTTTAATTTAAAGATGAAAGCTACAGGTTTCATGTGGTAAGTTTTGAATGAAAACTTAGGGTTTCAAGGACACTAAATATGAAACTACAGGTTCAATTTAGTTTTATGAACGATTAGTTCATAAAAAAAAAGGATGCAATATGCTGATTTAAGTGTAGTGGATTTGAGTTGCTTCGGGAACTCAAGTGTGAGAGCTTTGGAACTACAAAACGATGTCAACGATTCAAAGTAGAAAAATAAATTATTGAATCGTTAATGTCCAAAAGTGATCTTTAAGTCAATAATTTTGGATAAATTATCAGATTAATGGACTGCAAGTCACCTTTAATTAATTCAATAGATCGAGACTAAATAGGGTCGATCGGGGAAGCAAAATAATGACAGACAGATCATATTAGCTTCATTTGGTGATAAACCAAGTAATAATTAAATTAGAATTAATTAGAGTAAACCAAAGTACCCCAAAAAAATATTTGGGCATGATTTATAACGTAGGGATGCCAAAAATTAGCATTGGGTCGAAAAAAACGCAGCTCAGCCAAAAGTGGGCTGGCTTGCAGGTTGGTGTTGGGAAGCTCAGCCAAGGCTGGGTTTCGGGTTTTTTGGTCAGGGCAGGTCAAGCCCAACAGCAAAGGCTGCGAGCAAGTGGGGCGATAGGTGGTGAATCCCAACAAGCAACACGGGCTTGTTGCAGGCAGGCCAATGACGCAAGACCAAGCCCAACAACACGTGGGTTGCTGGTGATGGGCCATGGGTGCGAGGGTAGAGCCTAGCAAATTGCTACAGGCCGTGCTGGTAGGTGGGTTGGGGCTACAGGCCCAATCCAAACCAATCCAGGCCAAAAGAGCGGTTGTTCTTGCTCGCAGCAAACCCAAAGGGCTGCTACCATGGGTTAGACGTCAAAACGATGTCATCCTGGGGCGTGCTCGACGCGGCTGGGTTGCAAGCCAGTGCGGTGCTTGGCGATAGTGCCAGCAACTGATGGCCATGATTCATTAAACTCCCAAATTTTTTTTTTCAACTTTTCTAGGGTTTTAAGAACCCTAAATTGCTTGTAATTTATTTATATGCTTTGACTCACAAATTCCACAGAGCAAAATAATTGTGTAATGCATGAGACATGTGTATATATATATATTGACAAATATATGAATCATATACAATATATATATATATATATATATATATATATATATTGGAAGGAAAATATAAATATAGGGGGTTCATGCATCATGGGGAATGTTTTCATGCTTCGTGGACGTTTCAAATATCTTACTTTATTTTAAGCGTACCTGATTGGCAGAAAACAAATAAAAGCCTTTGAATTTTGTACAAGAAAACCTCCTCCTATGATCCTTTAGTTCCGTAGCTTCTAACAAGAATGTGCTGATAACATGTTGTAGGTCTATTTGACTGAACTGTATTTAGGACTAAAGAGGGAGAGAGGTCGGCCGCAAAAGAAAGAGAAGAGATAGATTTAATTGTGAGGTGTGTGTTGTATCACCCCATTGTGTCTTTATTTATAGTTGTATGATAGGTTAAATCCTTACCCTAATAGGATTACAACTCTAATAGGATAATAACTACTATGGGGAATATTCCAAGATATCCCTAGATATACTAGGATTTACACAATCACATTCCTATTCTAAATATGATTACAACAAGTGTGTTTTTTTTTTTTTTAAGTTTATTTGGTGTGTTTTTTTATGAGGTTTATTTGGTGTGTTTTAGTAATTTTATTTGTTGTGTTTATGTAATTTTATTTGATAAGGTATTTATAGGGAAAAAAATTTTATTTTATCGTATTTTTTTTATTAATTTTGAATATTTTTTAAAATTTTTTATTAACTTAATTAATCTAGATCGTTGGATTAAAAAAAAATTGAAATGCAACAGTCCAGATTTCAACACGTGGCCCAGCGGTAACATTCTGATTTATTTCTTTTTTTATTTTATTTTTCTTACATTTTTTAAAGCTGAAAAACGTGGACCGTTGATCTGGAAATCAACGATCTAGAATGTGCCACGTCATCTAGCCGTTGTAGGAGTTTTTGAAATTTTTTTTACTGTTGGAAATCCAATGGCCCAAAACAAATAGCTGTTGAAAATCCAACAGCCTGGAAGAAGCCATAACAAAGGTACCTTAGTGGGCTATCACGCGAGCCCCACTATCTGAAACCCTGTCGGTGACGTGCTGCCAGTCGCGCCTGATGCAAAAAATTTTGAGACGTGGTTGATGTCATGCTGATGTCAATCTGACATCACATCCATCCATGCTCTCGGGCCTTGGATTGCCTAACTAGTTGCTTGAGCTTTCCTTAGTCCAATTGCCCGAGGTAGGCTGGAAGGGTTTTGGGAAAGGGGGGTGATTGGATTTAAATTGAAGCCTATCCACAGGGCTATTGCCCACAGAAGAAGTGCTCTTAGACTCAAATCCACCCACCAAAAACTGTTATTATAAGGGAACTTTAACGAAAAGCTTCCGGTACTATTCACTTTAACAAAAAACTTTAAAACTCAAAATTTTCAAACCCTTTTCATTAGTTTTCCTTTATTATAAACCTCCGTGGTCATCTAGAACTTCATAAAATAGGGACAAGCCAAACAGTTCTCAACCTACTTGTCTGCATTGAATCTACAAATAACCCCCTCATTGTGACAACATATGCAATCTTGATATATAAACGTAAATGTCACTTGGTCAGGACAATGTGTTCGTTCTCTTGCATTGAACTTAAATCCGTATGTCTACAAGTTAGAATAGTTTAGAGTATCGGTTATGATCTGGGATTCTCTTATAATTTGACAAAATATAGGAACTAATAAATAGGAATGGGTATAATCACATAAAATCTCTTTCAAAAAACGAAAAAGAGAAAAGGGCATGTGTGCCCATAATATTCTGTCACGAAAACAATGCAAAACTCAACCAGAAATGATCTATTCAGGTAAATTGTATGAACCAAAATCCAGTCCCATTAAAAGTCTGAGTCATGCATTTTCCATAGTTTTTCTGAGCTTTTTAAATCCCATTTCTTTTCTTTGCACCAACAAAACTAAACTGGATAATTTCATGGTGGTTCTAAGCCTTCAACCTGTCCAATTTACAACGCCTAAACACTTATCATCATGTAAACCGAGTGTTTGTGGTTGTTCCGTCCGATATCGGATTTCGGAGGCATCAGGAGAGCCAGCTCCAATGGGGCAAAAAACAATGTACAATGATGGGTTTTTCGGGAGGGGATTCATGACTCTTTTTGCTCGAAAAATGATGAAGTCTGCAGCTCCGGTGAATGCCAAAACTGAGACAAAGGAGAAGCCGTGGTGGGATATGACTACGAGAGCTTTGTGGATGTTTCCAAGAGAGTGATGCAGGGAAGGTCTCGTAGTCAGCAGCAGAAAGTGGTTCGAGAAGTGCTCTTGTCAATGCTGCCTCCGGGTGCGCCAGCGCACGTGGATTAATGCAAAGTTTTCAGTCCTCTAATGTTGGCTTATATCTTATTAATTTGAATATTTAGTGATTAATGTACTGTTGGATGATCATATCCATTCATTAATTTGATCATTTACCTTCAAAAACTTGATAGTTGGGTATAAATTTGTAGTGTGATGGTTGCATGGCTACATGATATTACAAATTCACTCATATTATAACACGTGTATCTATTTATTAACATTATACTCTAAGTCCATAACATATCAACCATGTTGTTCAGTCATAGTATATAGACGTGCCGAGCTCCATGCGAAGGGAATCGGGTTTGGTTTGTTTAGTTCAATTTGTTGTCTACATTATTGAACAAGCATATATGATTAACCACTTTAGGCAGTGTGATTAAGTGCTCAAAGTTCATGTGTGAATGCAGTTTAATCTAATCACAATTGTTATAAGATCGTTTTCAGTAGGTAATCAACTATTAACCTATTGTTCTTGCGGTTTAAGAAACTATTTCCACCAACAAAGTGGGCAGCTGAGTTCAATGCTGCATTGACAGTGCCTTTCTTCCACTGGTTGGTTGGGCCTTCTAAGGTAATTATACTGTTTAAGCCAGACTCTATGTGCATAGCATGAGTGTAGTTTTGTCACAAAACTAGAAGTTGCACAATTATTCTATCATTTGACAGATTAATTTGGTTTTGGTCAATGTCAAATTTAAACCTTTGATTTGCTGTTTCTTTTTGGAGTTGTTTCTGATATACTAATCTATAGGCAACTACTAGGTTGAAGAACTTGAGATAAATGGGGTGAAGCAAAGCAGTGGAGTTCATATAAAGAAATGCAGGTGGAATTATTTTATATTTCATTATGTATAAATTGAATTAAATTCATCTAGGTTAACACGTACACATACCAATTTCAAACCTAGGTGTATCCAAGTTGGCTAGAGCAGTGTACTCTCACTTTGCATCCGAATCTCCCCTCTGTAGTTAGATTAGATTGGAATCTCGATTGAAACACACACATAAAAACCGGTTCTTTATCATTTTGGAGAACTGCAACTATACAGACTAAAGTGATGGGGTGAAGCAAAAACTAATTTTCTAACTTTGACATTCTTGCTCATCAAGATACCTGGAGAACAATGGGTGTGTAGGAATGTGTGTGAATATGTGCAAGTTTCCTACACTAGATTTCTTCACCAATGAATTTGGACTTTCCTTAACCATGATTCCAAATATGTCTGATTTTTTGGTTTTATTGTGCCCAAAAACTGGGATTTAAGGCTGAAATTCTTGTATAATTTGATGAAATACATTCCAAGTGGATAGCAGTTTCTGAATTGGCTGCAGATTTTGAAGATAGGAGTTGTGAAATGGTGTATGGCGAAGTTCCACCGCCGTTTGAAGAGGATCCAGTCTCTAAAAAGCCATGTTTACTGATACATGTAAGTTTGTACAACTTCTATATTTATTTGATCAATGGAGATATATAATCCTGATTTCCACCATGCGTTTATCTGCAGGTTCCATTGCAAATCCCAGCTCCAGTGTTTGTCCGAAACTACAAAATTGAAAGATACATGCTCTTACTTTATTCATTACCATACTGAAGTAGTTCGACAACACGCTTCAAGCCATATGTCACGGCCATCTTTATACAGTTTAACAGCAGTTCATATCCTTTGCGCACGTTGAACATGGCGACGCATGGAAGTTACAATTTGTTTATTCCGATGAAAACTGTCTCATTACAGAAGGGAATGTTTGTAAATTTGAGAGGATGAAATATCACTCATTATATAATCCCCTAGGTCACATCTCATTTTGAAGAATGCTGTGAACCAACAATATATCTAATAAACCCAACATGCACATTTGATTTTCCGTTTCGTTTTTAACGGCGTATTGAGGAGAAATTATCTTCTTTCCTCCATGAGGTTTTATCAAGTAGCAATTTGCATCGACATAGTAGTTTTTTTTACTATTCGGTATTCTATTCTAAACTATTGGGAGGGGGACTGGAAATTAGGTGCAAGGGGGCGGGTTCACTACCTTAGTCAATGGATGTAACATCTGCATGAGAAATGTATAGTTAATTTTGCAGAATTAATTGCAGGAACTATGTAAGCAGTTGATGGTGCTGAAATTTAGCCTGCCTTTCGGGCTTTACATGAAAAAGGGGATGAGTTTTCAGCTCTTGCAATTGGGAAAATCTGCTCAAGTTACTTTCACACCTTTGAAAATGTTGTGGAAAGAGTTCCAAGAATACAAGCAAACATCAAGAACCCCTTAATTTGTGCTAATTCCTTATATTGACAAACCGAAACTCCAATCACCCGAACAATGCTAAATTATAAAATAAAATAAAAAATGTGCTTCACTTAATTGGGGTTTTAATCCCACTATTAAATTCTTCACCGATTTGTTTCTTCAAACATTCAATTCACGTTATTTCATTCTTTTTTCAATCCCAAAAGTATTATTCTAATCTTTGACTATAGGTGTGAGACTTTAAGTCAATATTTCGTACTATGAGTTGAATAATTTTCGTGCAGAATATGTCATTGTGACGATATTTAAAATCAACCATACACTATTGTACATATTAAAAACTTAAATATATAAAATATGATTAGCTAAATATACTGTTACGATGATAGGCCGTTGCATGTAAATTTTCTCATATAGTAAGTCCCAATCACATGATATGCGATTATATGTGAAATGTATGGGTTGGACCACCCTTTTAACTAATAAAACCGCTCATGCAAAATTCAAACCGTGACTTTCAAACTTTTTCTGAAGCTTTGGCGGCCCATGTGATTTGCTTTGTCCACCTCCACAAGTATCCGTGACTTTTTTTGCCACAACAGACAAATCACGTTTCTACAACGTCCCAACACGACACGCGCCTTAAATTATGGCATCCAAAGTCCATAAGCAAATTATATAACTAAAAATGTTACTTTTTTATCGCATATTTGTATTATTATTTGTATCGCTCTATAATAGAAATGGACTCATATTTATTAAAACTTTTATTTATTGGTGAGTTCTATCTTTATTAGAGAGATGATCATACAAATATTTTGTAAGTATAACATTACTCTGTGAGTCCATTTCTATTATAGAGTGATACAAATATTTTGTAAGTATAACATTACTCTTCTGTAAATTTTGATTTTTCTTGTTTTTTTTTTTTTCTTCTAAGACTTTTGGCATGTAGTGAAGTTCTGAAAGTGATGACTCATCCTCGTGAACAAAGATTTTTTGTTATCCTCACTTGTAATGAAAAAAAAAAAAGGGGGATAAGCAAATTGCAAAAGAATAGTGATTTTCACACTTTCGTTTTTTTTTTTTTTTTTTTTTTTTTTTGCCTATGGTGTTTGATTTTTCTTTGATTCAGTCAAATCGAAGACTAAAAAAACACATAGTAGCGCAAGAATTAAACAGAGAAGTGCGGAAATTATTACCAATTAAAATGTTGAAGAATGGAACCTTCTATTTATTGAGAAGTGTTAAGGAGATTTTCTCCAAGTGTGACTCTATAGACTATATGTCATCTCATGTTTTTATCACAATCTTTTATAATTTTGACACAAATATTGACATTAAATTATAAGGTGTCAAAGAGTTCATGAAGAGTCTCACTTTTGGAAGAGTCTTCTTAACATTTCTCTTGTTTTTTAACCATGTGAGAATTATGAACTCTACTGCGTCCTTTTTATCTCACTTTTGTGACTTCTAAGTTTCAAAACATCGAATTCTAGAGGATAAAAGTTTGTAACTTTGCACCAACAGTATGTTTGTCCTCACTCCTCACAGAAAAATGTCCCATTTTTGGCGCAGTTGATCCCGTGACCAACCGAACAACCAACTTCCCTCTTCTCCCAACCTTCCCTTTTTGCCTATAAATTTCAGTCTCCACCTCAACACATTTGAAACCCACCACCCTATCTTTTACTAGGCCTCTGCTGATATTGCTGCAGTCACTAGCAATCATATAATGGCTTCTGCTGTCACATTTTCTTTAGGGGCAAAAATTCTATGCTTAACTCTTTGTCTGCTGAGCTTATGCTGCTCTGCTTTCACTCCTCTAGACTACTCAAATGCTCTGGAAAAGTCGATTCTCTTTTTCGAGGGTCAGAGGTCTGGGAAACTGCCCGACAACCAGCGGCTCAGTTGGAGGGGGAATTCCGGCTTGTCCGATGGCTCTTCCTACCATGTACTAATTAATTCGTGTTCTTTTGTCTAAACTTTATGTTTAGTACATTTACAATATAATGTAACATTTTGGAGGTGAACTGTGTTTCAGGTGGACTTAGTAGGAGGCTACTATGATGCTGGAGACAATGTCAAGTTTGGCCTGCCAATGGCCTTCACCACTACATTGCTGGCATGGAGTGTGATTGAATTTGGTGACTCTATGCATAGCCAGATTGACAATGCGAAAGCCGCCGTACGTTGGAGCACTGATTATCTTCTAAAAGCAGCCACTGCAACCCCCGGAACGTTATATGTCCAAGTAAGATAAACAAGCAAATATGCACAAATAAAAACGAGTTATAAACTTTTAATAAAACAATAGAACTGGGATACTAAATAGACGATAAAATGGCACAAAATCATGGTACTGAAGGCTAAAAGAATTGACTCATTGTTAACGACGTTGGTTTGGAGCTGAAGAGAGGTCCTAAATATAGTCACATGTTTTGGTGGTTGCAGGTGGCAGATCCTAACATGGACCACCGGTGCTGGGAGAGGCCAGAAGACATGGATACGCCACGCAATGTGTACAAGGTGTCAACCCAAAATCCAGGATCAGATGTTGCAGCTGAGACTGCTGCTGCATTGGCTGCCGCTTCCATAGTGTTCAAAGACTCCGACTCTTCTTACTCTGCAAAATTGCTTCACACAGCAATGAAAGTAAACATCTATAACAAAAATTTGACTTCATTTTAACAATTTTTCCGCTATTACCATGTGTGAACAAGAACGTTAATTTTAAATTTTGATCGCCATGCAGGTGTTTGATTTTGCAGACAAGTACAGAGGTTCTTACAGTGACTCACTTGGTTCAGTGGTCTGCCCTTTTTACTGCTCATACTCAGGATACCATGTAAGCCAAATGCATATAATTTTGCTTCTAATTGCTTTCTTTTACGAAAAATATACACAAATGGAACAGTCACAATCTTTTAATAAAAAATAGAACTGGAGGGACTTCGAACATACAATATTTTATATAGTCTCTCACTTTTATTTTTTATTTTAAATTTGTAACCAGTTATATCTGTGTATATTACGTTTATTTTAATCCCGTTAAAGTTCCTCTCATGACCCCAATTGTGCTGTTAAATAGGATGAGCTTCTGTGGGGTGCATCATGGATCCATAGAGCCTCTCAGAACAGTTCATATCTTGCCTACATCAAGTCCAATGGCCACACATTGGGTGCAGAAGACGATGACTATTCCTTCAGTTGGGATGACAAGAGACCTGGAACTAAAGTTCTCCTTTCCAAGGTTTTATTCTTATTGAAACTCCTACTTTTTCGGTTTGTACTCTAAAATGAATATTTTTTAATTTCTCTAAAGTCACAAGTGAAGTACAAAAGATCAAACGAGACGTGTGACAATCACTAACTGGAAACTCTTAGAGGTGATATAACTTATAACAATTGAATTTTGTGTAGAGCTTTCTAGAGAAAAATGATGAGGAATTCCAGTTATACAAATTACATTCAGACAACTACATATGCTCTCTAATTCCAGGGACGTCTACTTTTCAGGCCCAAAATACCCCTGGTAAGCCCTCATTTCTTTATAGAAATATGATCATTAGTCTGGCTATGGAATGTGCGTCCTCTTTCATAAAAAACTTCTAACAGGATCACTATCTTTTACGTGTTGATATTGTGCTTATATCCAAAAACGACGTCGTTTTCAGGAGGATTGATCTACAAGGCAAGTGAGAGCAATCTCCAATATGTCACATCAGCATCTTTACTCCTCCTAACATATGCAAAGTATCTACGTTTAAATGGAGGAGTGGCAACATGTGGATCATCAAAAGTCACAGCAGAAACCCTAATCTCAGAGGCAAAGAAGCAGGTGGACTACATTCTCGGTGACAATCCAGCAAAGATGTCATACATGGTAGGGTTTGGGGACAAGTTCCCACAGCATGTGCACCACAGGGGTTCTTCTCTCCCATCAGTCCATCAACATCCCGATCGCCTTGGCTGCAACGATGGATTTCAGTACCTGAATTCTGGTTCACCTAATCCAAATGTTCTTGTTGGAGCTGTTGTTGGTGGACCTGACAGTAAGGATAATTTTGCCGACGATCGGAACAATTATCAGCAGTCTGAGCCGGCTACTTACATCAATGCACCATTTGTTGGGGCTCTTGCTTTCCTCTCAGCTCAAAAGGGTTAGAAGAAGTGGATTTGGAGAGAAGAATGTTGTTACCACAAAAAGGAAGAGTTGTATGAATAATATGGAAACTTTAGTATTTCTCTAGTTGTTTAGAGGACCATGCACTAGCAATCACACTCTAAAGAGTGTGCCCTTAGCATGTCCATGAGCTGTGTCACATAGTATAAAGTGTAGGTTGGAAATGTTGGGAAATTGTTCTTGCTGGCAAATGATGGGAACTTTATTTTATCTAAAGCCATATATCTAGAAAATGACTAGTTCACGAAGGACCTGGGAAGTTCTCGTGTTGCATTCCTTAAAAAATAGACTTGGTCGTTGTCAAGTTTGATAGTATACTCTTTGTGCAAAGTAGTTTAAATTTCTAGTGGTATTCCTCTTCACTTGTAAGTGAAAGGTCTTAGGTTTAATTCTTACCAAAGGCGAATCTAAATCATATTATTACTAGCTCATTATGAGGCTTAACACACTTCTCCACTTATCACGACGCGAAATGAGTACCAAATACTGTGACTTTAAAATTTTGGATGCAAACTTTCATGTCACGTGATAAAATGACTGACACATTATTGAATCAAAACATAACAAGGTGTTATAAATTTAATTATAATAAAAAAAAAATTTGTGCTACTATGTTTTAACTGACAATGCATGTTGTTTATCTTACCATACCACCGCAGCAAAAAATCTAAACCAATCGTAATTGAAATAAAATCTCAACAATCACAAATATGGTAAACCAAACAATAATACATCCCCAACTCAAAGTTAATCTCCAACTTAAAACAAATAAATCAGACCAACCATGGCAACAAAGTAAATTGCAATTAAACAAAAAAACCCCAACAAAAAAAGAAAAATAGAATCTCATCCAAAACACAAAAAAGGAAAAAGAAAAAGAAAAGGAAAAAGAAGCAACCTTCATATTTTATAGCGCGAGTCGGGTAGTCGGTAGTTACAACGAAACACCCCCAGAACCTCCTATCTTCTTCTCCACACGAAGATTAAATCTCAGCACTTCACACTGAGAGTTGCAATCCCAGATCCGACCCTAAACGATGTCGTCCACCCCTCGCCAATTCCCCCTCCTCCTCTCTCTCCTCGCTTTCTTCTCTTTCTGCTCCGCCGAGATCCGATTCTCCTCGATCCGATCCGACTGGCGCCAAATCATCCCCTTCGACGAGTTCGGGTTCACCCACAAGGGCCGCCTGGAGCTCAACGTCTCCAAAATCGCCCTTGCGGATCTTCCCAGCGGGGATCCGGACCTCTCCAAAGTCGGGTTCTTTCTCTGCACCCGCGACTCCTGGATCCACGTCTTCCAGCAGCTCGAGGAGGGCGAAATCCGCTGCGCCCTCGATTCCACCCTCGTCAAGCCCGTCTACACCTTCAAATCCCTCAACGGCGGCGATCAATTCTCCACCGTCTTCTCCGAGACCGACGCCGATCAGTACACCCTCCTCTTCGCCAACTGCCTCCAGCCGCTCAAGGTCTCCATGGACGTCAAATCGGCCGCGTACAACCTCGAGGGGAAGAACAACGACCGCCGCGATTACCTCTCGGCCGGTAAAACGATTCTCCCTAGGGTTTACTTCCTGTTATCTTTAGTCTACGCATCTCTGGCCGGACTTTGGGTTTTCGTTCTGTACAAAAAACGACTCACCGTTTTTAGAATCCATTTCTTTATGCTCGCTGTTGTAATTCTCAAGGCGTTTAACTTGCTGTGTGAGGCGGAGGACAAGTCATATATTAAGCGCACCGGTAGCGCTCACGGCTGGGATGTGTTGTTCTATATCTTTAGCTTCTTAAAGGGTGTCACTTTGTTTACTTTGATTGTTTTGATCGGAACCGGGTGGTCGTTTTTGAAACCCTTTTTGCAAGACAAGGAGAAGAAGGTTTTGATGATTGTGATTCCGCTTCAGGTGATAGCCAACATTGCCCAGGTTGTGATTGATGAGACCGGGCCCTTCGGGCAGGATTGGGTTACTTGGAAGCAGGTTTTTCTGCTTGTTGATGTTATTTGCTGCTGCGCTGTGTTGTTCCCGATTGTGTGGTCTATTAAAAACTTGAGAGAGGCGGCCAGGACCGATGGGAAGGCTGCGGTGAATTTGATGAAGTTGACTCTGTTCAGGCAGTACTACATTGTAGTTATATGCTACATTTACTTCACAAGAGTTGTGGTTTATGCATTGGAGACCATCACATCATACCGGTACCTTTGGACCAGTGTGGTTGCCGCAGAGTTGGCCACGCTTGCTTTCTATGTGTTTACAGGGTACAAGTTCAAGCCGGAGGCACACAATCCGTACTTTGTGATCGATGATGAGGAGGAAGAGGCTGCAGCTGAGCAGCTGAAGCTTGAGGATGAGTTTGAATTGTGATTTTATTGTAGAGAAGACTCCATGATCCAATTGGGAAGGCCGAGGTAGAGTATCGTTCATTACAGTGGAATATAGTTTGTGTTTCATGTTGTTTACCGTCTGTTTTTCCTTATAATTGAAGTTAGTAGTTAGTAGGATAATGTCACACCCTCGTCATTTTTTCTGTGAATCGAAGAATATGTGTAACTACCGAAAGATAATGTCTGGCATGAATTTTTGCATAAAGGGTGCGTGATTCCCTCATATTGTTTATCGAATTCTACTTTTAAGGTGCCCTTTGATTCTGCATAAATTTGGTTCGTGGTGGAGTTACTTCTGCAGAGTGTGGTAGCTTTCTTGTGGTAGAGAAGGGATATAGAAAACAGAAGAAACATGATCAATCTAACTCTTAAGCTTAATGCAAGAGAGTAGAGATAGTAAACTGCAAGTAGCGAGATACAAGTGGTGATTAATTCTAAACTGTGATTTCTTTAAGCGGATTAGAAATACGTAAAACAATCTCTAGCACGTCGCTAAACTTACTCTGATCAAGACGAAAGAAGGCATCCCCTGACTGTCTTTTTACAAAGCATGATGAATCTAGGTTATAGTTAGTGAGTAACTTAGCTACGACACTTAAATTTCTGTTTTATAAGTTCATGTATGATACACAAATGTTCTGCTAGTGAACTGCAAAATTGATACGAGTTAGTAGTGAAAAACGTAATTTGCGTTGTGGCCAGTGTTTAAAATGTACTGGTATCAGTGAAAATATCGATGTGTATATGGATGGATATATTGAATGTAGATATTGATATCCATTGTTTTCAATGGAAATGATGGAAATTTAAAATGGAATTTTAGGGATGCTGAAACATTGGTTTGGACGAAATATAATAGATTCTTTGATATTTAACAGATATATCAGAAATATCAACGATATCTATATATTTTAGCTTAAATTTAAAAGTTTGTCCGATTTGAGGTGATGTTTAAACTTCATCCCCATTACTATACCTTTTTCGGTTTCATATCGAAAAAAAGTAAACCACGGGTTGTGTCTACGCTACATTGCTAGAAGTGTGATTCTCTCACTTTTCCAAAACCCTATTTTTTTCTCAGTAAGGTTGGGATGACATATTTGCATCAGTCCACTTAGAATTTGAGAAGAAACGTCTCTTTTTTTTTTCTCTTTTTTAAGTTTCACAATGAGCTAGCAATAATGGGGTTCAAATTTGCCTTTGGCAAGAATTGAACTTGAGGCTTCTCACTTATAAGTGAAGAGGAATACCACTAAACCATAGTACTAAATGGCTCTTAGAAACCTGTTAGATGGCATGTTTCATCTAGTTTATTACAAAGCGATATTATTACTCTAAACTTGATCAGTTGAAGTTGAAAGTTTTAAACCCGAAACGCAATAAAATTGAAAAGAAAAGCTCTATCCACCAAACAATCCATCGGCAACTTGTGAACTCGTTCATGTTCGCCCGTGGTGCCTAGTTTGACTTTTGGATTTATAAAAAAAAAAAAAAAAAAAGATAATAATAATCAATTCGTAATTGCATTTCCTTGTCGTGCAGTCATTTCGGAGAAGTTGCCGCTTTGTATTATACGCAAAAGTAGACATGTCCAATGCACCGTAGCAGCACACTTATCTTGACCATTTCATCAAGTGCCAATTTAGTTTTATCTTTTCGGAAATTCCAAGTATTTAGATGGAATTAAGGACAAAGACCAAATCAAATGAACAAGAAAAAATCTTGTTGGTTTGGTCATCAATTTTTGATAGGTGCATCGACCTGCTTAGCAGTTAGCAGGTCAATTTTTATGAGTCGGTTGGTGATCGTTTTCGTATAGTGGGTTCAGTCGGATCTAGTGATTGGGCCTCCAGCTCTGTAGGAATTAGTGTGCTCCTCAAGCCCAATAAGGGTTAGCTACAAGCCCAATTTCCCCCTCCCGATTGATTGGTTGTCCAAACATACGTCTTGTTTCGTTACGATGAAAGGGAATCGAGCCTCGATCTAATTTAATCGCAACTCATTTTCCATGTTTCATCACCACCTGGGCTAGCTAATCCCACTGACTTCCCAAATGGAATGTTTGCACAATTAGGGCTTCCATATCTAAATATTTACACTTCAAAAACATCATCGTTCACTCGTCCGTTATTGTTCTACGAATGAGAAATTAGAATAATAAAAGTGCATCATGACTATTTTGGACTTCTGAGTAATAGCTCCTGCCAAACTTCGACTTATTTATAACTAGATTTCTATTAGGAGTTTTTTTTTTTTTTTTCCCTTCCTAAAAAACAAGGAATTTTACACAAAATTTCTAGGATCCAACAAGTATGTGCACTAAACGACCAAAATAATTGAGTAATAATTGGAATTTAGAAGCCATTTAGTATTACGGTCTAGTGGTATTCCTGTTCACTTGTAAGTGAGAGATCTTAAGTTTGATTCTCGTAAAAGGAGAATTTGAACGACATTATTAGTAACTTATTGTGAGCCTAAGCTCACCCCCTTCCCCTTAGTACAAATAATATCGTTTGTTAAAAAAAAAAATGAATTTAGGAATATAAGGCATGTGAATGTGATAGTCCTAAAATAGAGCATGTGGGTTGCTCCTTAGATTTCATTGCTTTAAGGAAAACAAATAGAACATGGGTATTTTTCTAACCGCCTATAAATAATTGAGAGATGGTTCTCTAAATCCTAACTTTTTCTAGGATATTTTCTAAGTGCATGTGCAAGAACATGTCTATTCATTGCCATTTCATGGTCATGATATTTAATCGAAGTCTTAGTAGGCAAAGAAACACCTGAAAAATATGCTTTCAAAACTCCCCATTATCCTTTTCAAATTTGGATTAAGACGGAAAAACTTACATATCGTGAATTAGTAATTTAGTTACATGAAGAGAGATATGTCCAATTGTAACATACAACAAATAAAACATATGTTGGGAGTTGA